GAGGGATTCAGACGCTATCCTGACCACCCCCAAGGAAGACGACAAGATTCATTAAACGGAGCAGCTGGGAAATCGTAAGAAGCTCGTGAGGTCTGCTAAATTCTGCTGCCTGGCGCATATTAGCAAGGAAACTGAAAAGAGAATAAGAGATGTAAAGAAAGAGGAATATATACAGGGTGATTCAAAATGAACATATTGTCCTTAAAATGTCATATTCCTGACTTAATTCTAAGACGATTTTTCCTTTGCCAAAATGTTGTCAGAAGATTAGTTTTTGAATTATAACAAGAAATAGTTAGCGAATGACTGAGCGCGTAGAGAAGGTAGCCAGGGACGGCGCAACTTACTGTCCAACACAGATAGTACGGGGTCCCTCCCTGCGATCAGATAATCGCTACATATGAGCATATGTGACCGCATTCCCATTCACACACACACATACACACACACACACACACACACACACAAATTACCTTGTAAAAGTTCGATGACTTCACGTTGTAGTAGACAAAAAGAAAAAGTGTATGCATTTCATTATACCCGCGTGCAACAATTACAACCAGAAGATTATCCTCTACGGAAAACGTTCTGGGAAAACTTTTTAAGAAAAGTAGATCGAGATCCAAGACTTCCATCTCGAATAATATTTACTGATGAATCATTATTTACGCAAGAAGGAGTATTTAATTCGCATAACATGCACGTATGGAGCGATGAAAATCCTAGAGTGACGCGAAACAGAAACTTCCAAATTCGTTGGAAGATGAATGTCTGGACAGGAATTATGGGAACTCAGATACTAGGTCCAGTTGTTCTCCCGGATATTTTAAATGGAGAAACATATTTGGAATTTTTAAGGGACAATCTACCAGACTTTTTAGAAGAAATACCATTATTCGACAGAGACAAAATTGTATTTCAGCAAGACGGTGCGGGGCCACACAACGCTAGAATAATGACGAATTATTTAAATCAGAAATTTCCTGGACGATGGATGGGTCGATACGGCCCAATACGTTGGCCCGCCAGATCTCCAGATCTTAATCCTCTGGATTTTTTTTTTTGGGGATACTGCAAAAAATTGATTTATAAAACGTTGCCCGAAGACATGGAAGATCTTGACACAAGATTGCGGTATGCCGTATGGGCATCGAAGAAAATATGATGGAGAATGTGCAAAGAAATTTATTGAGACGCATGAGAGCCTGCGTTAGAATGGACGGTGAACATTTTGAGCATCTCTTATAAAATTTATTTCATCCATCATTTCGCTCTTTTTAAAACGATAGAAAGCAATCCGCCCTTTTTAGGGCGACCAATACTTTCTTACAGGAATATCTCTCTTACGCAGAAAAGATCAAGATAGGAAGAGAAATGCAAAAAATATTGACTGGTTTGGAAAAAATTTATAATTATGTCCACCACGGGCGCAAAACTATGATTACATGAAATGTAAGAAGCATTAACTTGTTTGGAAGCAAAATCTATATCACGCAACATAATATGAAATGTTCTGATATTGATTTTTTTCGAAACAGGTCAACATTTCTTACATTTTATGTAATGTCGCATAAAGTCGATTCTTTTTAGCTAATTGTAGCTAGTTCACTTGGCGCTACGAATGCTTCGAAACATAAATTTTTTGAAATATTAGTCAATTAATTACGCTTCGAGGTATTTGTAACACGTGAGTGCAGTGCACTCTGTTTCGAATTTGCTGCGGTCTGAGATTTCAATTACATAATCACGCGTCTTTAGGTTCAATTTATTGCACCAATTCATTAGTGCAGGAATAAAGAACAGACCTCGTGTTTCGACCGCGATAGTATAAACATAACCAATAAAATCGATCGATTGCTTCGTCGAGTTAACGACTGTCGTATTAGCGTTGTGTATTCCTTTCTTCGAGTGAATTTTTAAGTGACGAATGTGTGTGTGATTAATCGACAGTAATTAATAATTAACTAATAAATTCGGTATTAAAGTCATTCGACTAGTGCTTGCTGTCGTTGAGTAAACGCGTCGTGTGTTAGTAAACAATCGTATGCTTCTTTCTTCGAGTGATTTTCAGTCCACGAATAATTTGATGCATCGTAATTAACTAAGAGATTCACTGTTAAAATCAGTCGATTGCAAACTATCGTCGAGTAAACGCGGCATGTTTCTTTTTTTCGAGTGATATCGGTGATTTTAGTCACTGAATGACTAATTGGCAATGATTAATAATTACGTACCATCGGTAATAAAACGGACACTTAATTGATGGAGATACAGTAGTAAAGTTCTCGTTTTCTTCAAATAAATGAATAGTTTGTATGTAAATCGAGCGTGCATGTGAACATGTCGGAGTGATACGTTTTTAAAGAAACGAATTAATTATTTGCTGATTAATTATTCGATCTGTGTACATTCTGTGTCAGTGTAAATGTGTAATACCTAAATTAAATTTATAAGAGCAATGGAAGTTTAATTAGCATAAACATTTGTTTGGAGCTATACGTGATCCTTCGAAATTGAAGTTTTTCTCTACTGCAACGTGAAGTCATCGAACTTTTACAAAGTAATTTGTGTGTGTGTGTTTGTGTGTGTGTGTGTGTGTGTGTGTGTGTGTGTGTG